CTTGACATCCCTTTGAAGTGGACCTTAAAAATAACAGCAGATCAAAGTAGACAAGCTTTGGTCAAGCCTAATCCCCTTGTTCCTTGATTCCAACTTACTTTGGTTTTGCCTTTGTGATATTTGTAGTTGTTATAGTTGCGGTTGTAGTAGTGGTAAAGGACAGAAATGCAATGAGACTCTTTATGTTTCTTTTATTTGAAAGAACAAAGATGAAGATATTAAAAATGATTATATGTATTTTTAATTATTATTGTGATTGATCAGTTTATGCTACTAAGCTTTTGTTATTGATATGTAAACACTACCTATTGGCCCTTATTCAATGTAGAATACGACAGTTTTGTTTAATACTTTAAAAGCATCTAAAAATCTTATGAAAGGTATTTTTGTTTGTTTATTATATTTGTTAAATGGGCTAACGTTTAAAATAAAAAAGTCTCGATCTAGTTTCTGTGCACCAAGTGCATCTTTTGTGCCTCTCAAGAAGCCTTACTTTCTCTCCCTTTCTAGTGACAAAGTTATGTGTTTTGCTCTTCTTACTTATTTACCACAGTCACTTTTTGAATTATCTTTGACATGTGCTACTATTCATGGTGTAAACAAAGATAAGGTGTAATTGTTTGCTTAGCAAAATAGAGGGTATTTTCTCTTCTAATGGTACGGTAAGCATTTGTATTGAAAGAACCTGCTAACCGTTCGCCCAATAGCATCAATTCGGAGTTAGTACAGTAAATCATAAATGATAAACTAGTTCGGTAGCCTTTTTTTTACCTTTTGTTTATTTTTTTTTTTTTACTATGTCTTCTCAAAGAACGATCCCTGAAGAATTATATTACTTACGTAAGCTAACAAACTAAAGTTTTATATAAAAGACCCTTTATAGATTTGTACAGCTGACTTATATTGTCATTAGGCCCAAACCATGACTTGCGCCGTCTTCGCAAAGCCGAACTTAAGGACATTCTTATGAAGCACGGTGTCCCATATGGTTCTTTGATGACAAGAACCGAACTGCTCCACCTGTTCAAAAACAAAGTTCTCAGTAGACGTGATGATATAATAGACACGTACTACACCACCATGAACAATCAAAATCTTATTGTAAGTTTAACGCGATTATACACCCTTTTATACCATTATTAATAAATAATTTCATATAGGATGCTGACGGGTTTGTTATGCCAACATCAAGTCTCAACAGAAAGCCTGTTTACCCTTACGGTGCAGAGGATTCGTTTGCGGAGTCTGAAGATGATGCTCCCGTCCATGAGCCATCTTCCAGTTCAAGCGCCACTCAGTATATCTCTGATAGTGTTAACCAGTGGTTTTCGTCTAAGCAGCAAGATCGACCTGAGAAAAACAGTACAACTGAAATAGAAACAAATGCTGCTCATTTCGATCCCTATGACTCCTTTGTCTCAGATAACGATGAACTGGCCATCGTGCCTACTACCCAGTTATCATATCCTGGAACAACTAATGATGATAACAAGCCTAATGTTGAGAATGAGCTTGATGTTAAGCAAGTCGATACCTGCAAAAGTAGTCCTGAGCCTAAGCAGGCTACTTCCATTGAAAATAATCCTGATGCTGAGCCAGTAACAATTGATGATGAGGAGCAAGATGTCACCGATGAAGATCGTAACAGCGACGCTTCTTATGAGGTTTGCGCTCCCAGTTCTGGAAGCTCGCACAGCTCTTATGCTTCTGAAGATTCAAATGATCAGTCTTCTGGCGACGAAGACGATAGCTTTGACTCCGATTATTATCCTGATGATGAGTCTGACGACGAGTCTGACAAAGACAACGATGAGTTGAGAAAGGGAATTGATGAAAAGGAATTAGTCTATTTGCAGTCAGACAGCTCTCTTCCGCCTGAAAGCCTCCGTCAGCTGTATGAGCAAAGACAGGCATACTCAGAGAGGTTTACAGTTAGAAAAATGATCATGGTTATTATTAACACTTGTGTTTCTTATTTCCCTTTTAACGCACGCAATCACTTACTGCCATTCAGATTCTTATTTACTACCCTTGCTCTTTCCCTTATCCTCTTCTTAATGATAGTTACTCTCTTCAGATACAAAAATGGTTATTGCAGTAATCATAAAGCACAAGGATGTAATTATCACCCTCTGCCCTTTATCACACTCTTACTAACTTGTTATCTTTTCTTATAGATCAATCCTTGTACTATTCGTACTTTCCTTCGACATGTATTCCATGCCCTCAAAATGGTATCTGTGTCAATGGTAAACTAAATTGTGAGCCAATTTACGTACGTCAGCGTCCACTGTACAATCCAGGTGGACTATTACCTATAGCTGATAAATGCGTACACACCGCTGACATGATAAGGCAGATCAATAAGGCTATGAAGCATATGGAACAATCTTTGACTACCGCACAAGGGAATCTGATATACAATGAATACAAAAGAAACCTTAGGCATCAAGAATTACCACAAAACATTGCTGCTTTTTATCAGAGTGATTTCTTGGATGAGATGAAGAAGTATATTAACAATGTGAGTCTACGATTTATGATATAGCAAGTATCTCTGAATATAACATTTAACGTAGGATGAATTAACTACAACTGAAGTTTATGGCATACTCAATCTAGCCTTGAAAAAACTGACTGGTCATCCTACAGTCTATGTCTGGGAAAAGTAAGTCTTTAGTAATGACTCTATTTGTATAATACTTATCAATAATGCAGTAAGGATGGTGTGCCTATGATTGGGACTACCTCTGCTATTTTTCCTTTTAGGTATTATTTACTGAGAGCAAGTTGTAGGCTCTTCTATGGCGACACACGATACATTATACTCTCTGTTATTCTTACTGTTATGGCGATTCCTGTAGTGGCTGTCGGCAAAGTATACATCAAACGTCGCCATGCATACAAGGATAAAATCAATCATTATGTATCTGATATACTCGTGTGGCTCAGAGATCCGCATGAATTTTATGTACAGAGACCAGCGAGAGCCTACCAGACATTGAAGAATTCAGGAGTTATCCCTGTTGATACTCTTAGAGCAGAATTGATGCACATTAATGAAGATTGTAGTGTGAAGGACTGGGACCAAGTGGTCAAGCTTGTACATAAAAATCCAAATGTCCTCCGCACTATATACGAAGTACAAGGCCATTTGGTAGAATGCTGGGGACTCACTCCTGTGAGTTATATTCCTCAAAGGTCTAGTATTCTTCAAACAATTGTAAATAGATTCTTTTAAATAAAATTACATATATATAAATCAGTTGTGCTTTAAGTTATTTCATATCTTCCTCAATTTTTGTTCAAAAGAAGGCATGATTTATTGATCTTGTAGGGTGTGTTTGTTTATCATGCAAATAGGCATCACAGAAGGAATAAGTGTATTGTATATAGCCACATATATATGGAGGTATATTTTATATGTTGATATCATTGCTTGTTTGATATCACAAATGACTCTTTGCCCAATTCATGATGTCCTCTTTAGTGGCTGTTGTATTCTTTATGAACGCCGTGTTTAATAAATCATTAGGTGTTGCACGAGTTTGGACATCCTTTACAAGACTATAGATAATATAAGATCAGTTCATATATTATGATTCATGCATATATCTGTATCAATATATATTTCCTATTACCATAGCGATAAGAACTGCTCATAGTCTTGTGGATACTTTCCTGCTGGAAGTGTGGGCACTGGTTCATTTACTATATACTGCAATAGTTCAAAGATAGCCAGCGATCTGCCATCTGAAGAAGTAAAAGGAAATTTACCTAGTCCTAATTCCATCAATGTGATACCGATAGACCAAACATCTGACTTTACAGAGTAAGGTGAACCTAATATACGTTCCGGCTGAAGATAGAAAAAGTTAACGGCCTTTTCTTTCTTCACTATATATATTAACTTACACTCATGTATGAACTGGTACCAACAAATGTATTTGCTACAGAATCAATCAGTTGTCCTGATACTCCAAAATCACAAATCTTGATTTGTCCTGCAGAGTTGACCAACACATTCGACGGCTTCAAATCTAATAAAAGCTGCATAATCAGCATATAAACGCATGACTATCCCCTCCCTCTTTTCCCCTCCCTTTGTACCTCTGTGTATAATTCTATGGCTATCATAAAGGTAGATCAAGCCATCCACAATCTATTTAATCTCGACTTGGTAAATCATCATTGTGTAGTTATAAGGTATATTACCGCATATCCTATATGTCTTAGTATATCCATTGGAATGGGTCCACTCTTTTTATAGATTTTATCCAAGGAACTGTATGAATATGAAAAGGGTTATTTATATTATCAACATTTTTATGCCTCTTATTACCCAACATCCATATATTCCATGCACATTGAAATGTCTCCACCACTAAGGAATGCACCATAAAAGCTTACGATATGCTCTGAGTTACAGTCGTGTAAGAACTGCATCTCTCTCATCACTTGTTTACGTACAGTTACTCGAGGATCTTCTGGCTTCTTTCGTTTGGTATGCACAGGTAATAAGGGCCTCATATTAGCAATACTGTAATCAGTGCTGTTAGTCGATGGTTGCTTGTTGGTCGATGTAGGTATCTGATATGACATTGATTTCTCAGGTCTCTTTTTAATTTCGTGTATTGACAGGTCCTTGACGACGTCCTCTATTTCCCCATCGTCCTCTTGATTGTCATTTTCTTTTGGGCTGCTACCAAAGATACCTGAGCGTCTTGCAAACGCGGGAGAGTCAAGTAATGATTGAGGATAGATCGTCTATAAAGTTTTAAACACTTATTTATTTAATTTTCTCTTCTCTGTACCTTTTTGGCCATAATTCTTTTTGAAGGAATATGCAACACTTTATAGACGGTTCCACCATTTCCAGCACCTAGTTCTTCAAGATTTTGAATATCCTCCTCACGAAGATCAAGTCGTAGTTCTAAGCCGATCTCAAGATCACTAAGGTCTTTGTATAGTTTGTCGTACTCTTCTTGTTTTGCCGACTTTAAAGCAGGAACAGGTGCTGCTGTAGCTGCAGAGCCTGCTGGTAAAGCCAAGTTCTTGTAGTTTCTCTTTTTACGTACAATGGGTTTGAGCATGAAGACAAGATTATAAAAAAAAAAAGGAAAAAAAGGGAAAAAAGAAAAAAAAAATGGTGCCTCTTTCTCTCTTTCTCTGTTTGTCCTTTGTCTCTCTCTCTCTCTAATTCTCTCGGTTTGCGCGCGCGCGGAATTTGTTTTAGTTTACTTAAGGGGAAAAAGACATCGTGTTTGGTTAATATCTCATAAACACTTCTTTCATAAATTATTCGCGCACAATTCTTTAATTACACTTGATCCATCTGTCCTTTATTGTTCTTTATTCATCTTTTCGAAAGATAAAAAAAAGGGGGGGGGGAGATTTGAACTTTATATAACAAAATGAAAATTGATGTTATTAATCATTTTGATATCTCATTCTTTTTGCTTCTTGTGGCTCTCTATTTTGCTATTTATTGTCGCATTTGCTGTTTGAAATTTTATTTTATTCTGAATAATGTACAAATTTGTTATAAAGTAGTCAAATCAATCAATCCAAATCTTCTAGGCTTTGGTTGATCTAAAGGGATAGGAAGTGTTGCTTCACGATCAAAGACAATACCAACTAGTCTACGCTTAGGGTGTTGTGGATCCTTATAAAAACGAACATATCCTGGTTCTAAAGCATAGAGTGTGTGATCTTTACCAATGCCAACCTATGCTATTATTAGTAAAAAATATACATATATATTATTCAACGTATATATTACATTGTCTCCTGGGTGGAACTTGGTGCCTCTTTGACGGACAATAATGTTGCCAGGAACAACCTCTTGTCCTGCAAATATCTTCACTCCTAATCTTCTACCTGCTGAATCTCTACCGTTACGAGAAGAGCCTCCTGATTTTTTTGTAGCCCAACGGACTTGAGTGAGTTCTATAGAAAATGTCAATCTCTTGAATTGGCTGTCGTATTATATTGTATATTCACCTATATTATTTTTAACAAATGGGGTAATTGCTGGCCTAGTGCATGCTGCCAATTGATTTACTTTTGCAGTTGTTGTGCTGAAATGTGTAAATGTACGATTCAGTAGTGACATTGGAGAAGTGTAAAAAAAATATTTTTGATAGTCTCAAGGGGGAACATGGGTGGAGTAAGAACCAAAAACGTCACATATTTAATCACCGACATTCGGTGTTGTCGTTGGCAGTAAATACCCACAAAAATGTAGTAGCCACAAAATGAACATGAAGCTTGCCACTATTCTCATATGAAGAAAAAAATTTAATTGCTGTATTTTGCGCGTTTTTCTAGTAATTACGCCTATCATTAATATCAACGACAATCTCATCACCCGCATGATTCCTGAATATGATGATGAATTTACCACCATTCGATTTACTAACGAAGCAGGATTTGAAGAGTGGTTCAACAATATTGCTCAGAAGCATGCCAACTGGAACCTTCGCCAAAGCTGGGCCAATGAGAAAGCAAAACCTTTTGTTGGCTAGCCTCTTACTGTCTCCTTAAAATTGCATACTATTAAGTATCAATGTGATCATGCAGGAAAGCGAGACATCCACCAAGAAAGCAGGAACGAAAGAATCTATCAAGATTGGATGCTCTGCGTATATTAACAAGCATCTTCTGACTGACGGTGTAGCCGAAGTGAAGTATAGATGGGAGCATCCTGACCATAATCCATGTGATGTGCAAGAGATTATCTCATCTAGACTTCCTTCCAAAGTGAAGTAGATTGAAGAACAAGTTAATCAAAGCATAGATTGGAAACCCATCAAAAGCCTTCTTAGGATGAACGCAGCTCGTCTCTTACAAGTATGTATTCCTTTATCATTGGAGCTTATGTGATAGTTTCTGACTTTTAGCTAGATTGAGCAAAATGGTATCTTCCTCTTTTTCTCCGCTTCGAATCAATTATTACGATGTTAGAAACGTCATCAATGTTAGATTGATGAAGTTGAGTAGAAGAGCTGTTCTTGACAGGGTTAGTGCCCAAATTTGGATAGAAGAACTGGCCAAAAAAGGAGCAAAGATTTTGTTCAAGGTGTACGAAGATGGCTCGTTTCTTATTTCTTGGGTTGCTCAATGGCAAATGAAGGTAAAGTTTCTTGATGAAATGCGTATCTATGTCAGTTAAATTTAAGCATAACTATAGTATTTACAGGAAGCCGAAGAGGGGCGCATAGACTCGACACACAAAGCCTGCAAGCCATTCAATGACCCCAAAAAGGACGGCTATTTGCTCACTATTGTTGTTAGAAGCTCTATCACCAACAAACGTCTTCCTGTTTGCTTCTTTGTCACTGATAATGAGATCATTCCCACCTTACACCAGTGGCTAAGTTGGCTGAAAGACAGCTTTAATCTTAACGTTAAAAGAATCATGGTTGATTGCAGTCCCACGGAATTTGCTGCTATAAGAGAAGTCTCCGATAATGTAGACATACTGTTATGTCATTGGCATATCAAGCGTGCGTGGGAAACCCACATCAAGCGAGGCGTAAGTTTTAAACGTGGGTTTAATGTAGATATTAAACATCTTGTAACATTTAGGTGAAGATAAGCAAGTCTACTTACGACACAAAGCTGGCAGAAGATCGTGTTCGCGCTAATCTGAATAGCATGATGTACTCAGAAACGCCGGAAGCATCCGATCTCGCCCATCAGTTGTTCCTTGCTGAAAATAAGGAATTTGAAGTATTCCTTGCGTACTTTAACAGTTTGTGGCTTCCGAGAAGGGAATTGTGGTCTAAAGCGTGGAGACATGTGACCATTCATGCTTATTGTTCCAACTCACTAAAATCTAGCTTTTCTATCTATATATAGAATGCTTCTTTCCATACAAACAATCTAATAGAATCGTATCATAACCAATTGAAGACGTTCTATTTTGGTCGCTCTCGCTCTTTGCATGTAGATCGCCTAGCCTGCCTGTTATCCCAAGTGGTAGCATTAGGTTATTGGCAGGACACAATCAAAGTTGCGAATGATTTTGGTGGGTTTCGCTTGACAGTCAACCAAGAAAAGAAGAGAAGAGCAGCATACTGTATTGATTACGACGTTGCCTGCTCCATGGTAGAGTAGCTCGAAGAAAATGTCTATCAGTGCAGATCCTTCACTGAAGACATCCTCTTTTATGATATGGATACAAAAGAAGGCTTTTTGAAGAACTGCAACTGCCCTGATCAAACAAAGATGTGTAAGCATATTTTTTTTGGTCAGTCGCGTAATCAAGCTGCCTTTTTCTCCCCATGCTCCTGCCCCTGCTGCTCAGCAAGAAAGGTTTCTGCCCCAAATGAAGACCAAGGCCTTCTTTGCCGTGAACTATTACTTTGGCATAATTTATCAGATTTGCTTCACTGTATCAGCATGAGGCTTTGTAAGGCCTGCTGCATCAATGATCTGTTGATCTGCCTCATTATAGGAAGCGTGGCTGTAATTAAAAGCTCGTATGATCTCCTGAAATAAACTGTGGGGATTTCCTTTTTTGGATCTTGCAGTATCCTAATGCAGCGTCTCTAGTATTACCCATTTGTATAAAAAATATAACATAATATTCACCTTAGTAGAAGAGCTTATATCGTCTAGTCAGAATATATGGAGATGATATTGCTAATTTCATATTGTAGAGATATTCTATTTTAATTAAGAAAATGAGTCATTTCACCGTATCTAACACAGATGACAACATCATTGTAATAAATAGTATGAAGCTAACTTTTGACATAATCTGTGTGTGATAAATAAAATTTGGGGCGGCCAAGGATATCAGCAGCAGCTTCGTTTTTCTTTTTTCTCTTGCCCTCAATAATCTCTGAAAGCTATCATCAGGTTAGTGAGGACAACAGCCTGATGAGAGTTCCTTATAGCTCAAACACTTTATAACATAGAATGAAACATACTGAACAGAAAATCTATTTTGATGGCGTTAACATAACAAGGGATCCAATTCTACGGCAAAACTTGAAGCGTACTGCTAGCGAAAGCTCTGAGAATCCTCCCTTAAAAAGACTACGTCTTGTACCAAAATCTCCTGAGCTCTTATACAACAGCTTCTTGCGTTCTATTCATGATTATATAAAGGCCACCGTTGAGTCCACTACTAAAAAAAAAAGCAAAAATGTGGAAAGGGATCTGAACAAGTTGGAACAAAAGTTGCTCAATATCAAAACCTTACCAAGAAGCGTCTTGGCACAAGCTGCTCATATACCGTCCTGAGAGATTATTTGGACAAAAATTCCATAAAAAAGAATGACGTAGTTTTTAAAGAATATGTTCAGGGAAACTTTCATTCTATAGCAAGAGATTTAAGGGACGAAGTAACAGAAGGGGAACACGACGATACAGAACCCGAGGTTCATTCTGCCGATATAGAGTATAGAGCTTGTAGCGTGGCGGTAAACCGAATTATCAGAAACGATTTACCGCTAGAGATAAAACAAGCTGTTTTGGAAAAACTTGAGAGCACTCTTACCCAAGTATCTGATTACATTATAAACATCACGTTCATAATGAATATGGTTCTGCTAGAGCTACGAAATCGCGATATGATCACACAAGGCTTTTTTAATATCGCAAATATACTTCCAGATGGCTTTCTACCCAGCCAAAACTGTACTATAGAGCATACCATTGGCCCTCTTTCCGTAGCAGATTCATCTACGAAGGACTTTAGCATGCTTATGGAGCTTCAGTATATTAGTTTGATGCATTCTTGCTGTTTTGGATCAACTGGTGCACAACAGACAAATTTAAACAAGCATCCTGCCCAGGTGGCCATCTTCAAGGCCCTAGAATCATCTGGAATAGAGAAAGTGCAGTTTAAAAAACATCGTTAAAGTCTCATGAAATGGGAAATGCTTTTATTGATGTTGCCACAAGCATGAAAAATATGTGGAGCACACCAAAAATCTTCCACGGTTTGATGAACAGTTTGTTAGCCGAGAAGTCAAATACAGAAGCTATATCCAGAAAAAAGTAAAGAAAGGTCAAAAAAAGACCCGTAACAGTCAGTAGATGATAATAGCGTGGTATCTACTTTTACTGATCTGCCTAGGAATGCAAGGAGGAATATTGTACGAGGGGAAGAATACAAGAGGAAAAAGTGCGAGGAAAAGACAAAAAGAAAGCCTGAAGAAGCGCACAATTGGAAAACTAAAGCTGACGCATGTCAAAAAAAGGATTGATGGATATAAAATGGCTGTTTTGGTAAGGTACCTTATTTTCGTACTACAAGATATTGACAATGTAACGTTCTTGCTTCACAGGCTAGGAAAGTCGAAAGGAGCAATATAACAAGAACTGAGAGCAATATTACAGGAAGAAGTCAACTTACCAGTGAAAATGATGACGATGATGGTATAGAAGAAGAAGAGCTGATCACAGGCAATACCACAGACTTAACAAGAAGGAGATTACGCTGCTTAAAATCTGTTCTGAAAAGCCTACTTCTCGATGACAGAAAAGATGCATTCAGTGTCGACGACCCGAAAAAGGAATGTTCTGAAGTTGAAGAAAAAGAAGCATATCCTTACATGTTGATTTTGAATGCTTTGAAGCCGTATATTCCAAAAAAGAAAGAACGGTTCATCATAACTCATCAGTACCATTTTGCATCCTAGCGAATGATACCCTTTTGTATGCTGGTTACAAGAAGTTTTACAGAAAGCTTTGTTCACAGCCATCTGCTTCTACACTACATGCCTTAAGAATAGACGGGCCATCATTGTATCAAACATTGACCAGACTTCCTTGTGCATTGGCAATATTCAACTATGATAACTATCTCATAGAATCGGTTGAAGAAGCTCGCCAAAACAAGTATGCTGTTTTTAGCTCATTGTGTGATATTAATGCTATAACAATGATGTACAAGTTCAATGGCATCAGGTTTGCTCAAAATATATCACTATTACCTGGAACCAAGACTGCTCGCTTGCTTGGAACAAAGGATACTGTAAGTAATTCAAGCAAGAATGGCCCAGCCTCGCATGACTTGATATATCATCTATCTGTGAAGGAAGAGTCTAAAAAGTCGAAAGAAACCCTCCAACAAGAAATGCAGGGCTTGCAAGCTGAAGTTACTGGAATAGAAAAGCAGCTGAAAGATGCTTTGAAGAACGAAAAGAGCAGAAACTTTTCCAAGGAGATAAATGGATTAAAGCTGAAATGGAGAAATAGCAGTCTTGAAGAAGGGAATTGCTTATACAATGGTATAGAGCAACTTAAAGATGAATGAAATCAGTCGTTTTCTTTGGTGCAAACAACACGGGATGACCTGAAGCTGAAAAGGCAAATGTTGCATTTCAAAAGGATAGCAATGAAACAACAATCTGTAATCGCCCATAAAGCAGCCATTGCTTCTGAGAACAGCAATGATCAGTGGTACGTTCTCCAGAAGCATAACCATGGGATTGTCAAAGTGGAAGATTGTCGGATAAGTCTGCAGGCTAATCTTTCTGAAGAATTTATTTTTTCTGGCACAGACAGTGGTTTGAAGACGATGACAAGCACTGTTCCTCTCACGATGAAACGGTTCAAGTTTCATCTTGAGCTTCGCAACAAGTACAAGGCATTGGGAAATACCGATGAGTGTAAAGAGGAAGCTCAGAAAATAGTGAGCAAGTATAGCAGTGAAGAATCTGGCGCAAAATCATTTCTGCAGCTACCATCCTCTATGGCAATAAAGACAGGCGATATAGATATTGGTTCAGGATATTATAATGTCCGAAGAAAGCTAGAAAAAGCAAAGAAGTCAACAGAAGGCAAAGTACTGCAAGAGATAGAAGATAAACTTGCAAAATTAGATATGAAATCTACCACAAGCGTCAAGCAAGCAGTGAAGATATATCAACAACACGTCGATAACCGTATAGCATTCATGAATCTCTACCATTCCAAAAAGAGTCAGATCGAAAAGGACATGTGAAATTGAAAACAATTGTTTACGACACGATTGTGTGCAAAAGAAAAAAGGTTTTCGATAGGCAAGAAAGGCAAAGAGCACAGTAATATGTGATTGATGAATACTAAATAATAGATAAACTATTTAGTGAAAGTTAAAAGCAGTCCATGCCCTATCATGTTCATAGGAGATAGAGACATGTGAGTAGGTTCAGTAATAAAGGAATTCAGACGATATGGGGGGGTGAATGGAAACAAGAATTACATGGTATGAACGTCAATGTGTGCATCACAAATGAGAGCATAACGTCTCAAACCTGCATTTACTGTTTCTCCAAATTAGACAACCCCATTCATCGAAAGACTATAAAGGATAAAGAAATCAAGATAAAAGTCAAAGAATCTTTCTTGTGCCGAAATCCTGGCTGCGTGCTGGCGTCAAACAAAAAAGCTGTCAAGCCGAGAGACGACCTTTTTGCACTCGCCATTGGCCTTTCTGGTCTATGCTCGCTGCTCTTCTAGGAGACATTTCCTGGATTATCTGCTAAAATCAGTGACTGCAACACTGACTTTATAAACAAGACCGCCTCCTTCCTAAATGAAAGAGAATGCTGGGATATTGGCCTTGATGCCATTAATCGGGGGTAAATCAAAGACATTTGAAAAGAATGGTTACTAAAATTCTTCAATAGATTCAGTTGTGACTTCTTAATTGCGGTGGCAATTTAACGTTCCCGTGGTGTTGTCAGTGCACTTTGACAGATCTTATAAAAACAAAGTCAAGCGTGTATTTACATAAACCATAATAGGCTCATTCTTTATTTTCTATAAACACTATTTTTTTTTTTAAAAAAAAAAACCCTCTTTACATTCATTTACCAAAGCTCAGCTTATTCAAAAATCCCTTCTTATTCTTTGCTGAAATGTCATGTAATGGATATTTAGGTGCAGTTGAAGCATCAGCCCTATAAGCTGCGGCAAGCTCATCCAGGTTATCATCCCATTCAAGATCGCGCAAACGATGACCAAGTTTACGTTCTCTTAATTTGATTGTATATGATCTTACGCATGTTGCTGTGTAAAGCTATTTTTTTTTAAATAAGAAAAAATAAGCCCAAAATATGTATTCCATCCGAAGCTTACCATAAATAGCTGCCCAACAAAAAGCAAGATGGCTGTTCCAATAACATCAGCCTGAATAGCTTGATCACAGTTAGCCAAGCCATAGGTGTCACCATACTTCATTCCTAAAAAGGTTGTCGTATATCCTCCTACTGAAATGGTTGTGTTGGTGTTGGCTTCGGTTGAGTTGCTTGAAGGGTTAGATTCTGCACAAGCTTGTAATGCTTTTGATCTGTTGGTTAATGCTAATACGAATGATAGGGCTTCCCAAATGGTGAGGAAGAATACCAAGAGCCACAGCAAGGTCTTGGTCAGACGCATCATTCCAAGTTTAGCCTATCATAAACGCACGCGCGATTAACTATGGATTGAATGTAGACAATTATCCTTATTTACCACAAGAGCTGAAAATGTTGTCACCAAAGCCACAACTACGGCTGCAACTATATAACAAAGATAAGTATTAAATCTATATTAAAACTCGGATAAACTTACTGCAGAAACCGATATAGACCCAGGGAAGAACTGTATGGACAACGGCAAGGTGCATTACCATTGCTATAACGATAATAATAATCAGTATGTGTTGAAAAGTTAGTGTATTGTCTCTTACGATTTTTATGTGCAAAAGTAGCAGCAAGGATAGCTATTGATACAAGCTATATACACATATATGTTAATAATAGTAATAAAAAGCTAATTTATACATTACAGCCATGATTATTCCACTAATGACTATTCCACCTCTTAAAGGTATAATACAACAACATCTTGTGGGCATTTTGAATTTACTAATTTACAGATAAAAACAAGAAATGGAAAAAGAAAAAAAAAAAGAGTAGAGGACATTCATTTAAGGTTTAGTTGGAAAGAAAGTTACACGAAACTATTTAAGCTGAAAGGGCTTCAAAGGACGAATCATAAAAAGTGAGAGAGAAGAGGTACGGTTGATTGATTTAGCTTAGCCCTTTTTAATTGATGTCAATATTAGACGAGTTAACAGAAGCATTATATGAAATGCTTGACAGCTTAATGATGTAAAAATAATTTATATAATTCTGTACCTCTTTTTTATAATTCAACCATTATTTAAGATGAGTTACTTGTCTACTGTTTATTTAATAATGTAAAGCTCAGCCTTGACATGCTCACGGGAAAAAGGTATCACAGAACTTCTGAAAGAGACATGCTTAATAAACTCTATTGATTGGAATATAATACTGTTTTATTAAAAATAAATTTCAGATAGAGGTTAAAATTATGATGCGTATGAAAAAATGATTAGCGCATGTTAAAAAGGAAAGAATATAAAGAATTATACAGTTAGTTATGTAAGAAAATTATTACATGTATATAACTTATCCTGAAGGCATCTAGATGTGTCCTAGCGATAACTAGGACGGAGAGTCATCGCCTAAACGTATTCTAATTCTTGGTTGCTCCTGATCGTTCACTCTTCTTCGATGTCTTGTAGAAGCAACAGCAACCCGACGAAACCTATGAGAGACCATGCCATTATGTCGAAGCCCACGAAGGATGTGCATGTAGTTGAGGAAAGCAGCAACATCCCTGTTCCATAAGCGATATCTATCTGGTGCTGCCATGGCAGGTCTACAGTATAGATTAGTGCATCTACAAGCAATATTCAAT